GCCTTTCCAAGCTAGGGACCTAAGTCCCCTAGCATTCAAAGGGAATTGGGCATTCTAGTGCCTACAAATAAATTAAGAAAAATCACCTACTTGGAGACCCCTGAAAAGTACTGTGTTCTGTTGGCCACCAGATGTGTGAGACTAGGATGGCCCTGCTTCTCCCAAACTCTCTTTAGGCACAGAGGAAGGAGTCTGCAACCCCCCTGGCATGCTAGAACCACTGTTTTCACTTGCTTTAAGCTGGGATGGAACACCATGAGGTAAGAAGCTCTGCAGTCTGCTCAGGAAAGTCACAATGAAGATTTTAAAGATTAAGATAGACAATAAGAACTTCATACTGTTTGTGGGCAACCTCTCAGCGTGAAGCACAGGTTGTGGCACAGCCTCCCTTTCAGGAGGAAGCAGGCAGATCCCAGAATACAGCCTGCTCATGACTAATTTCTTTTAAGACCAGTCATTTTAAGTCTGAGATCACCCACAGTTGATTATCTGCATCAAAAATACTTTGTATTTGAAATATCTTCCTGGAAAAGCTGTTTGAACATACTGGTACTGTGTTAGTGTCCAAAGAAATATTGTTTACCTTCAGCAGACAGTGAGCATGCTATACAAAATTCAATGAGACAGGGTACGAGTCTGATTAATCCAGAGAAATTCCATATTTTGGCTTTCATTCCCAGAGTCTTAGCTATAAAATTTTCTCTACTGTTCCTCTACCATTAGCCTCATTAAATAATCAATGAGGTTTAGATACTAATGCAATATATAGACTATTCAGATATGTGCATACATGATTGTATTTATGCAAGTCTGCTGTAATCTTATCCTCTGAAAAGAGTATGAGAAAGTAGAATGGCAGCAAACAGGGCAATACAGAGACCTTTTTCAGTGTCTTAAATTCAAAATTGATACTATTTTTTAATCATTCTAGTAAAATAAAGTATAGCAATATCAGAAGAGACAGAGAGAGATTGATAGAAATTTTTTTATCATTAGAAATGGTTGAGCAGAACTGGCCTGTTTCAGGGCATGTTCAATTCTGTTGTTATCTCTGAACAATAAGTACAATTGATTGCAGTAGAAAAAAACCCCAGGATTATGAAACTTCCTAAAGCCTTTGGAAAGGTTGAATGAAATGTGTGATAGGAAAATTAGAACAAAGCCGTTATTTTAAAATAATTTAGTTTGTAAAGGCAAGAGACCTAATTTCACCTAGTTTAATTCCTCATTGTTGGAACAAGATATGCCTCTAATTTTCATTACGATTTAAATTTTTTGTGCCTTCTCACAATCTTGTGGGTCTGAGAAACCAGTGAGCTGTTTGAATGCAAGGGTTAAACCAAGAGAGGTCTGACAGAGTGCATGAGATCCAGACTTCCTGAACTGGGATGCAGGTGATCCCTTACAGGTATGGTAGCTGAAGCTGCTTCCTTTACCAGATGACTTGCCAGGGAGGGTGCAGATGGCACTGCTGTACCTTTGGTGGGGCATCCTGTCCCCTTGGTAGGTAGGGTCTGCTGATGAACAGAAGGTGCAGCCTCAGTGTGCCATGCTATAGCTGTCTCTGGCTGAGAAGGAGCTGTTAAGGAGGAGGAAAAAGGAGGGAGAAATGGCAATCAGACCACCATGACTTTATATAACGATCTGGCTGAACAGGTATGCCAAACTATGTGTCTTTTAACAAATTATTTGGTGCTGTTATTTCCATTCTACTGAGTTGTATGAACTTAAAATACTTGGGGTTTAACTTTGTTTTTTCAGCCAAGTATTATTCTTATCTAACATCAAGGTTTCTTCTTTTTGAAGTGTGATGATTTGGTGCTGTACTATTCTGCTATGCAGTACCTCTTGAAAGCTCTTCCATTTACAAGTATATAAGAAAATACAAAAGTTGTAATGTATTCATTGTTTAATCTCAAATTTCCACTTGAGTTGCTTAGCTGACATATTAGAAATAGGTGAATTAAAGAATTAAAGTCTCAAACTTTTTTATTTTTTTGTACGGACAGAGAAAACAGGCCTTGGCCTGGGGTGTCCAGCACATCCTCCTGGGCAGGGAGATAAACTGCAGCCTCTGCCAGCTGGGGCAGTGCCAGTACCATGAATTAGCACAGCATGCTCCAGAAGCTTCTCTTTCTGAACAAGCATAACCCAGCATATTCCCAAGAGGGCAGAGGAGGTGAGTAAGCAAGTGCAGAAAGTACAGCAATTGTGAGCAACCCAGGCATTTTCCTGGAAAAGCATCCTCTCCAACCTGCTTCTGAAATGTTATTAAAGTATTCTCTACGGAAAGCTAAGAGGTCATGCTTTGGTCACATTTTTAGGGTGTTATGTAAATGGATTCTCCTCTTAACTTAGGAAAACAAACTTATATGACTTAAACTGTACTCTACTTGGAGGAGAAATTCTTCCTCTCCTTTCTCTTCCTCTACTTTCATCTCTTGCTTAACTGCATACAACTTAATTCAGTTGTAGGCTGAACACAAAAATGTGTCTCTACATGAGCAAGCAATACTGGGGACTAGAAAATAAGGTATTCACAGATCTAATTTGAGTAAAAACAATTCTAGCTATTGAAAGCAAAAAAGTAATGAAAAAATCATAGGTATGGTCTACCAGGGTGCAGCAAGTTGCCAGTGCTCTGCACAAAAATAAATCTAAGGAGGAAGAATGAAATAGAAATGAAGAAAACAAAATAAGGTGGAAAAGAGAAAGGGGTGAAGCTAGCATGATACTAACAGGATAAGAATTGTCATACAGAGCCAGATCAAAGATTTTTTTATCTTACTGATAGGTGTCTAGCTGTGGTCAATAGATGTTGGAAGAGAATGCAAAAACACATACCTTTCTTCCAGACCATCTCTCAGATCAAAAAAATAGTCAGAGGAGAGGTGGATTTTGAGCATGTTCAGCCTCTTTTGTCTCAAACTAATTTTTCTTCCATTACTTTCTTCAATCACTTTTTAAACTCATCTAGACCCTTATATTCACAACATTCTGTGTGTCAGGGAGTTGAATAGCTTAACCACAAGGACTGTTCTCTAGGTTTTTGGAATATATCACCTGCTTGTTTCCTTCCTTCATGTTTGCATCTCTGCACCATTTGTGTGGGAAGATACTGTGAGTGACAGTGAACCTTTTACACTTGTTTACCTTCCTTACTAAAGTTTGTAGGGACTTGAATCACATTTGCCCTCAGTCACCCTGTCTCCAGTCTAAAGACTCCTACCATACCTCATCATTCCTTGAGCAGAGACACTTCAGGCCCTGGCCACCCTCCTCTGAACCTTACTCCTTTCTACCATGCCTGGTTTGAGATGGCGAACCAGAACTGCTCTCGGTAATCAAAATCACTCCGCGCCATGGAATTATACGAGACCAGTAATTATATTTTCTGCTTTGTTCTCTTACTTCCTACTAAATAATTTCTAGTATTCAATTTCTGTTGTTTTCCCTGACATTTGAGCCAGTGTATTTGTACAACTGTTCTGCACCATGTCAATTGTTTCATTTCTGAATGACAGTAGTCAGCTGAGATCTCCTTGTTTTCTGTGTGAAGTTAAGACCTTTCCTTCTATGTACTAATTCAACACACAGGTTTTTAGAGACTCTGCAATAAGATCTGCTCATAAATGGAATTTTTACTGTATTAATTTGTATATATGGGTCTCTTCATACTGCACCTACTCAAGGGTAGACATAATTATTGTATCTTTTATATCATCATCTGTTAGTAATAGAAAATGCCCACAGAGATCTGGCAAAAAAATTCCTAGTGGAAAATACTTCTTATATTAGAAAAAGAGTACTTTAACTTGTACTGATTTTATCCATTTCCCCAAGAAAAGTAAATTATATGAGTAGAATATTTTTGTGCCCATGTCAATTTTTATAACTCTGTCAGCACTGATGTTTAGACAGAATGGCAATTTTGAGAATTAAGTCAACCGTAGCAAACCACACTGAGAAACTGGCAATTTTTACCACCATAAGATTGATCTTTTCTGTCAGACATATGGCCTGACAATGTAGGTGAAGATAATCTGATGACCTGGTTTTCATTTGGACACTACTATGAGAAAATAAGAATCTGTACCTTTCCAAAAGTATGATAAAACTTGTTGTAGGTGGTATGAGATGCCATCACATTGCATAATTGTTTTCTGTAGAAAGTTCATCTAGGCAACTCACCCACCAAGGGAGCAGAAAGGATGGTAAATAATGTCCAGTGCTTAAAAATAGGGGCAGCTGTGCTTGTCCTTCTGAACGATATTGTGTAAATTAAATGTTATGTTGTCCTTAATATTTCTATTCTGTATATTCACTGAGATCAGAACATAGATGTTCTAGCAGAATCTATCTAGTGCTTCTTTCATAGGAAATTTTCTCAACTCCTACTCCAGAAATTTTTTTTTATTTTCATTCCTCATGTTTTCATCCAATTATTCTCTTTACTTAGTATGAGTGCAGTTGTTCTTTATGAGTTTCAAAGGCCTAAAAAGTCATTAAATATTAATAATTTTAAAAGTATCTTTTCATCACTCCAGTGATTTTCTTATTCTGCATCAATGTTCCATTTCCTATTTTCTGATTGCCCTCAACTCATCACATCTATATATATCCTGTTCATGCAGTCCCAGGGCTCGAGTCTGGAGGACATGCACCTGCATGGGGGAAGTACCTTTTTGCACGCCAGACATGCTGGTTTAGATGTGTTGAGTCCTGCTTGGCATACCAGGAGAGGTGGAGAGGACTGTCAGGAGAGGGGGAGCTGGAAAGGGGGCAGCCTCTCTCCCCTGAGCTTGCCGTCACCCAAGGACCGCACAAGAACCTCAGAGATAAGTATCTACATGCAATGTACAAACCCATGCATGTGTCTTTTGTAGGCGTGCTAGCACTTGTGTATGCACACACATTTGTGTACAAATGTAAGCCCAGTGGATATGTGTACATACAGTTTATATATAGATGCATGCACGCATGTATATGCTGGCATACCCATGGGCACGAAATCATCGCTTAATTATCCTCCGGGAGGAGTTTCCAGCCCGGAAACCCAGTCTCCCCACGGCTGGAGAGAAGTGTCCGCCGCCCCTCCTGCCGTGAAGGCGCTGCCGGGGTTCAGGCAGAGCCCAGGAGCTCCCCCGAGCCTGTCGGGTGCTGCAGGAGGAGGGAGAGGGACCCCAAAAGGAGCGCTGCTCCCCCTGAGGCTGTTCTTGCTGGATGTTCGCACAGGCACAGGTGGGTCCGGGACACTCCCACACACAGCCATCACATGGCGAGGGTCCCTCCTCGGAGGGAGGGGAGCGAAGGCAAACCTTTCCCCGTTTTTCTTTGTTTGTAATTGGGAAAGACTTCAAGCGCAAAGTCTTAAGCGCCTCCTGAGGTGCTTCAGAACAAAGGTAAATTCACCTCACGATAGAACAGAGAGGTAAAACAGATTTGCCCGCTACACGAGTAAATAAAGGGTCAGTGACCCGTTGGTCCCCGTGTTGAGGCGCGTAAATAACCTCAGGGAATGTTCTCCAGCAGCCCAGAGACGGGACCGCCTTTGTCTCTGCCCCTCCGGCGGCAGCGGGCTCTTGCCGAAGGGGCGCAGGCGAGGGCGGTGAACAAAGGGAAGAAAGCTCTGTCACCGCAGCCCTGCCCGTACAGAAGGTGCGGGGCACCCCTGCCCGGCCCAAGCAGGCTCCCCTGAAGGGGACGCTAAATAATGGATCATAATCGATCGCCTGCTTGCATTGGGAAGCGAAAGCGGGCGCATCCCTTGCTTGCAGCCTGCTCCTTCCCCCATTTGCGCTGTAATCCTATTCCACCATGTGCAGATAGATGGAGGGACGTAATTCAGCCTTCAAGCCTGGGCGGGGTTCTCGCCGTTTAATCTTTTCCTTTCTCTTCCCTTCGCCGCTTTCTTCCCTTCCCCCCCCCCTCCCCCCCC